ACGCGTGATAATTTTTTGTAAATTATATAAATCAGTTTTTAAGTTTTTAAACCCATTTTGCTTGAAAAGCCCAAACAGAAAGCAGTAGCTATTAAACGTCCACGCACATTTTCAGCCTACACTGCTAGAACCTGGATGTCCGCTGTACTGTACGTATGGCCGGGCTTCTCCTTGTTGTCCGTGTTTGTTCCACATACTCCTCTGTGCCTTTCACCCACTTTCCTCTGCTCATTCCATCCACAAACAAAACAACCACACCTGTGCTGTCGTCCACCCATCCTTCCCCATCTCTCCTCCCTGGTCACAACCTCAGTGAGGAGGCTGGCTCCCCCCTGGCGTAAGTACAGTAGTGTTCCTTCTCCATCCTGCCTCTCCTCATACATGTGTCCTCCTTGTCTCATGATATCATAACAGCTTGTGCATTGCTCCATGTGGACTAATATCCCACCGAACAGTCCAACAGCATCTATTTATCGATCCTAATGTGTTTATTCATATCCGTCACTGAGGTATTGTGTGTCAAAGCAAAACGTTTGATGGATGAACTCACTAACCACAGGCCTTCATGGACGCTTTGTGTATGTGCAAGTACTCAGAGGTACCTTGGTCAGAGTGTGAGAGTGTGAGTTCTGTTTGGGGTTATTTTTGAGTCCAGCTCTAAAAAAATAAAGCATCAAAGCCTAAAGATACCTGATGGGATTTTATGGCATGGGAATGTTCTGAGTATCAAATCACAGGTTTATAAACGACTACCGCCCGATCGGAAGTGACTGACTTTTCTAACACTCATTATTAAAGAATGCTGAAAAACACTGTCCATGTTGTTGTGTGAGTTGCTGTGTCAACTCACTCCAATTTTACAGGTGCCTTCAGAGTAAAACTCAGGGATAATACACAATGAAAAGACTGTTTTGTATATGAGTGAAGAAAAATGTAATAATTGTACAAAATGTAAACACTGCCTATGATTGAAATGAATGACATTGTTTTAGTTGATAACAAGATAAAATATTTTTTTATAGGTTTTGCTTTGTTGTGCAGTGTCACACGGTGTTGTTTCATTTTAACAATCTACACATCTTATGTGACAATAAAGCCACTAGAATTTCAAAATAAAGTAGGATTTGAAAATGCTTAATATTGCCACTCCCTTGTGCTTGTGCAAAAAGAGGCACCATGGTTGTCTGATTTAAAAATGCATAATCACACCATGAGATTAAAATGCAATTTAACAGCACCTGAAAGTTCTCCAGTGGTTACATTTCTCATCTTGCTGCAGGGATGTAAGAGTGCACTCCAGGATGTGTCTCAAACTGTAACATCACTGTTGGGTGTGATTATAGACGGTATATGAAGATGGACGACATGACCACTCCACAAAAGTGAAGCCAAAATGTCCCAATTGTCACCTGGTGGCTGGCTGCAGTATAGGTCATAAATCCTGCCTCAAAGGACCAACAAAAAAGTTCACATCAGAAGAATTCTTTCTCTGAGATTTCAGGCAGCTTTTATCACACTGAGGTTTGTGCAAGTGTTCAATTGTTCTGGTTTGTTGTCAAGTCATTGATTGACAGCTAAGACTGACTCTCAGCTGGCTCAACACAAGATGGCAGCATTCGTAACTGGAATATTTTGGCTTCATTTATAGATGGTGGGAGGATGTGCATCTATATATACAGTCTCTGGGTGTGATCCTTAATGTTTTGTCAGAGTTGCATCAGACATGAACCTTGACTACTGCTATATAAAGAGTTTGACTTACAATATGAAAAATATGTTTTTTGGTATCTTAGAAAATGTTTCATTTTCTATTATGATAGAGTTAAAGTTTTTAATTTTCACAATTTGAGTGTGAATAGAATATAATCCCTGTTTACACATAATATAGATGTAAAATATAGATTATAGATGATCGTGGGCATTTAATACATCTGTTTTACAAGCTCTAACGGTGCTCTCTGCCGTGCAGTGGGGTTCTGCCCGTCAAGGACCCTGTTGTAGACTGTGCATCTCCAGTGTACCAGGCAGTGATCCGGCCAGGAGAGATCAACCAGGACATGTCTGAATGGGCTCGTCGTGCTGCCAACTTGCAGTCCAAGAGCTTCAGAATGCTGGCCCACATCACTGGCACTGAATACCGTCAGTACTGACTGCCTTCTCTTTTTTTATCTCTCTTTACTTTCTCTAGTGACCTTCTCAATACTCACCTTGGCTATTACTCAATTCTTCTTCAGACTCAGTTATCGTCTGGTTAGGTAGCACTCACCAACTTTCTCTCTCCATACAGTGCAAGACCCAGATGAGGAGGCCCTGCAGAGGTCGAGGTAAGGAGGAGTTATTATGGACTTTTACAGACAGCAGCACTTCAGCTCAACATGCATTTTGAAGTGGATACATAACCTGCTTCATGAATAGAAGAATTCTACATTTTGAGAAATATGCTTGTTTGCACTTCGTTAGATGAGAAGATTAATACCACTGTCTGTGCAGTAAATTTTAAATTAAAACAATTCCCCCTTATGTTTAAGTGCCATATGACAAGTGAAAAGGAGTCTGGTGACTCTGTTTATTGGTGAAATATTAGACTTAATCTCTGGAGGTTGCTTTTTAGTTACAGAAGACACAGCCAGGCTAGTCTTAATGCTAAACTAAGCTAAGCTATTAAGCTGTTGGCCTTTTTTTTGTACCATAGACTGTATAAAAAGATAGATGGCATGATGGCTCCCCAAAAGTGAAGCCAAAGCGTCTTTTCGATTACTAACTCTGAATAGTGGGAGGAAGTGGAGACACGTTGTCTATGTTTATAAAAATACTATTTTCTGTACGGACATGAGAGTGGTATCGATCTTCTTGTTTAATCGTACTCCATCCTTTAAAAAGTTAAATTTAAAAACAGCCCTGTCACCTCATGTAAGAGTCTTTTCCTGCCTTCCTTATCTTCAGAGAGAAGTTTGAGTCAGAGGTGAAAGGGCCTCGCTTTGCCAAGCTGAAGAACTGGCACAACGGACTATCTGCACAGATCCTCAACGTCCAGGAATAAAGAGGTGCAGGAGAGAAAAGAGAGAGAAAAAGAGAAAGAGAGAGAGACAGAGGGGAGGAGGACATGTAAAGGAGGACATGGACAACAGCACAGGAGTTAACAGGAAGAGGGGATAAATTACAGAGGGAAAAAAGAAGCAGGAGGAGGAGGAGGAGACTCCTCAGCGATGTGATATAGTGTATTGTAGACCAGATTAGTAGAATGTGAGATACTAACTGTTAGTGTGAGAATGCTATGTGTTCATAAGCCCAGTATTACCTGTCAAATGTATCTGTCCGCTGCTAAGACCTGATCTTGCATTTGGGTTTTTATTTTCTTTGTTTGTTTTGGGTTCTGTCTCTCTTACATGACACGGAAATTGTACAAAAAATAACAAGTATTCAAGTGAACACGCAGAACTGATGATGTTTCTTTTACGCCCCCAGTACATGAACTGCTTGTGAGTTTTAACACTTATCAGCATGCTTGTTGAGAAGCCACGAATACAGGACGAACACACACATAGACGTTTATCTATATGCACAAAATACAGTATGTAAAAAACGTGCACTCAAAAAATGTACTGATATCAATGTGAATAAATTTTTTCTTAAAACTATACAGCTGAGTGAACTGTTACAACCCCACAACTGGAATGATGGTGTCACTCTGGAAACATGGTATAATTTTGTGTTTTGACAATGCACCTAATTGCTTTTACCTGGATAATGTCAGTGTACATTGGCTGGTGGCAGTGACACAGTTATGGTGGCAGTACTGAAAAAGACTCAAACGGCATTGGCGTTAAATTCTCAAAGTTTGTTTTCACTTAATGAATGTATGACGATAGATAGAAATTCTTATTCTGGGGGTTTCATTCATTCTCACGACATCAAACCCAAAATCCACAAAACTATTATATTTTGCACTTTCAAACATAAAAACATCACAAATCTTTTAGTTCTGTTTTTGTTCTCCACCAACTCCTGAGAGAAATATCATTTATTTAGCTGTTTGACTTTGGTTAGCTTTAAGTAGGTTAGCCTCTACAGTTGCCTGCTGCAGCCAGGAATGAGGAGAGTATTGGGACCAAATATCAAATCAATGAGCAGAGAGATGCTCTGTAAAAGAGATGGAAACTGCAGAGTCAATGGAAAATTCTGCAAGGGTTTGCCACAACTAGCCCCAGTTTTCACTCTGTACACGCACACCTGGCCCAGTTAATATAAATATATGGATTAGTATTGATTTAAGTCATAAAACGAGGATATGAGACTGAACGAAGATTTCACTTTCATGGTATTTCACATCCTTGACTCCTGCCCCCTTGAAAACTACACTTAAAGCAATGACAGGACAATAATTATAAATGAAGAGCATTCAAATGCAGTCACATTTTGAGGGTTGTTCAAATACTTGCAATTGCAATCTCTTAGACTTGACATCCAAAAAGATTAAAAAGGCTGTTTTTAGATAAACGATCAATCAGATTTATCGTTTGTGTCATAAGGAACCCAGCCGTGCAGCCACAATGCTGCGTCATGATGTCACATTTCTTGTGACCGGGAGAGGGCAGTAGGTTTCTGCACACTTACCCACCCCAAAGACCAGACATCCTCCCTGCAACAGCACGGTTCAGTGTGCTCCAAATAAATCCCTTTACTCTCTGCACTTTGATTTTGTCAGGCACCAAAAACACGAGTTCCAAGACTATTATAACACAGCAGCACATTATATTTTAGAGTTATTTCTCCACATTTTATTTACAGAGCATTGTTTATAAAAAAAAAAAAAGGAGATGTGGGGCCATCAAAGGCATCAACATGATTGCTGTCCCGCTGAGTCGGCATATTTTGCAGGAATGGGACCATGAGGAGGAGGAGGAGGAGGAAGAAGAGGAGGGCGGTTGTGACTCATTCAGGTTGAGATGACAAAGCAATTTCTCTTCTCTTACAACACTAAAAATGGCAGCAGCTTCTTTCTTTGTCTCTCTTAACTCAGTGTGATGCAGTAGAGAGGGAGTTTACTGATATTATATCCAAAAATCTGCATAATGCATACACAAAGTAATGCATTGAATAAATAAATACAATTGATACCTATGCAAAATATACACAAACATATATAAGGTTAGCTGCAGCAATCACATCTTTTGGACAAGCTGTTCGAAGTGCAATCACAGATTTCATGTCAAAACCATATGATTTGAAAAAAAAAAAAAAGCTCCAGTGCTTAAGCTCTGCCGGTTATGTAACAGTTCTCACAAGCTCAGCATCCAGAAAGGTGTGTCCAGAGCAACGTGCCAATCAAAAAATATGCAAACAGCGTAACTGAGGCTGAGTGAGAATCATCAGGAGAAAGATGGATGAGAGTGGAGGGATGGCTGAGGGGCGGGGCTGCAGCATGACTTGAAAATGCTGCAGCATCCGGCCATCCCTCCTCCTCCTCCTCCACCTCCTCCACCTCCTCTCTCCATCTCGTGCGTACCCGTCGTTTCCTCCACCCTCTCTCTCTCAGTCTGCGTGCTGTTGCCCTCCTGTGCAGTCCTCTCAAACCCTCTGTTGTGCAGCACCAAAGGGAGGAGGAGCCACCGGCACACGCACACGTACTCACTCACGAAGACCAACGCACTCCTGACATCCCCTCCTGCACACCCACTGTAAGCACCAGTCAGCCAGCCAGGCCCGTTTGGAGCAGGGGAGCCCAGCCGTCTCGTCACCCAAGATGGATGTACTGATGAAGGGGTTCTCCATGGCCAAGGAGGGAGTGGTGGCCGCCGCAGAGAAGACCAAAGCCGGCATGGAGGAGGCAGCAGCCAAGACCAAGGAAGGGGTGATGTATGTAGGTATGTAACACGACCTCTCTGTGTAAAGTTTGATGAGGAGATGCACTCATTTCTTTGTGTGTGGTTGCACCGTGTGTTTTTGAGGTGGGGTCCCATGGGTGCCCGTGTCTGGGACACTCGTGAGAGGTGACTGGAGAAGAGGGAGGAGCAGGTGGAACGGAGAAAAAAAGGAGCAAAGGAGTGAGCAGAGGCAGGACTGCTGCAGGACTGGTGCAGGGCAGAGGGTGGGGGTGCAAACGAGTGAGGGATGGACATAGTGATGGAGAGAGGGGTTTAGATGGAGAGAGAGATGATAATAAAAGTTGCAACCGGGCAGCAGGGACGTAACTAGTGGAGGACTAGATTTTCTTGGGATGAGAATAAAAGAGTAAAAGAGAGGGGGAAGGAGGGATGCTGCAGGATTTCACGATGGCACTGCCTCAGGCTTCTATCACGGTCCTGGTTTATTCACACTCAATGGTTGGTGGAGCAGTTTGCAGAGGATGAAGTCCCCAGAGACTCCATTTCTGTGCCTTTTTAAAATTTCAGAGCTGACCTACATGTACATTGCACAGGCTCCAGTACATTTTTGTGGTACATTTTACATTGATCTCAAAATGAATGTCTAAATTCACAATAAAAATGCAAGTATACGAGGACAGGACATTTTAAATCAAAGAATTTGAATTAGTACTTTTTTGACAATGCTTCAGACGCTGTGTGTTTCCGCTGCACGTCCCTGCACATTTACATTAGCTGTAGCAGCAACTGCGTCACATTTCAAGGTTACCCCGAGAATCTGGCTTTTAGGCCGCCTGAGAGGGGAGGGGGGAGTGTGTGTGGGGGGGTGTAAAAGTAAGAAGGTGGGTGAGGAGTTTGTGGACGTCTACGTCAGTCCAGCTCTCCTGCACTCCCATCACCACTCATGCAGCAAAATCTTAATGGGGATGATGAAAATTGGAAAATGCATCCATGCAAGAGTCAATGTCACAAGCTCAAAGAGTGAAGAAGGAGGAGAGAGGGAGGTGAGGCAGACAGGGCAAGGATCACTTGAGCACTGCAGCATTTGCCCATGCAACCCCCCCCCCCCCCCTCCAAAAGAAATATCCAAAGGATTCGCCTGTGCACGCTGCTCTGATGACTAACCACCTTCCTCCCCCAGAGCTCTTTAAACAAACCCCCATCTCCACCCACCCATCCCAGGGAAAGAGGGGAAGATGGAGAGATGCAGAAGGAAGAGACAGAGAGCGAAGATGGAGAGAGAGAGAGAAGGGAGGGGTGTTATGTCAGACAAGAAGATTTGTGCCTCTGGTCTCATGATGGCCCCCTGGATGAACAGATGGAGGGACAGACAGAGAGGGACAGGTGACGTGCAGTGATGGAGGGATGATGGAGAAGGTGGAATGAAACTGACAACTGGATGTTTCCAGGGAGTGCAGGGTGGTGCCGAGCTCAGGTAAAGGAGAGGATGGGTAGAGGAGACACAAGGGAGGAAAAAGAAAATGGAAATCACAGGAGGTGGGAAAAGAGAAAAGAGGGATCGCTGATGTGATCACTGGAGGGAAGATGGTCGATAAGGCAGAGTATCTGCCTGCAGCAGACTGCAGACGTCAGCATGTGAATGTGGGAACACTGTAACGAGGTCGTCACGCTCGCTCTAACACGCAGGCCCACACCTGGACACCCAGCACAATGTACTAGTTTATTGGGTTATTTTATTAATGTTATTTTTAATAATTAATATGTATTTCTTATGATTTATTACTCA